AGGCCAGGCACTTTTGTGGAGCCTTGGTTCATGGTTTTACTTCTGTCTGGACTGCCCCACTCACTATACTCCATCCTTCTTCTCCCTCAAAGGTTCATCTCTGATACTAACCTTCTTCCTAAAACATTCTCTGACTTCCCCAGCCTCAGCTGTGAACCTCATCTCCTCCCACCTTGGTGCTCCTCAGACCTTGTTTATACCTCTAGCATGCATTCATTTATAATTCAAAGAAGGTACTGACTTGTGTGTGCCAAGCACTATTGAAAGAAATTGGTGGGGGACACACACAGTAAAATCAATTTAAAAGCATTTATCAAGTGTCTAAAATGTACCAGGCACCGTGTTAGGTACTGAGGAGACATTGGCTGCAGTTTATTAAGAATTGGTTCCTCTTATTTTGAGTTCAAACTATACCATGTTATATGGTATAGCCTAGGAAAGGCTAGGCATTTCCTAAGATTAGTCTCTTTGGTACAATTATAATTTGCTTTTCTTTGCTCTAAAACTACCTCTTTCAAGGACTAGAGTGGAACATATCTGAAAGTAGAAAATATGGGCTAAATCCAGAACAGGACAGTTTAGTGAAGAGAGGAAAGCATTTTAGACCAAGGACAGAAAATCCAACTTCTGGTCTTTGTGTTCCTTTTTATTAGCTACATATGGTTCCCTGGACAAGATGGGAACAAGTCACATCATCTCTCTGAGTCTCCATTTGCTCATTTATAAAATGAGGACAATATCTTCCTTATCTATGTCATGGTGGTATTGCCAGGATCAAATGGAGCCCCATATGTGAAAGCATCTGGAAAGAGCAAAGCACCTTACAGATATGAGGTTCTTAAAGTAATAGGGAGAGCCACAGTAATAATAAAAGAAAACGAATTTAAAATACACCAGACTAGATAGGTTAAAAAAAAAAAAAGGAAGAACTTCCTAACAGTGAGATTTTTTTTTCTTTCAGGCAAGAATGAAGATAAATTGTGGGATATGATCATATTGAAATAAATTTTTGACTTGGGAATCTTCATAGGCCTACCTCACCCCCTAGACTCATTCAGGGCTCTAATTTTTGTTGACTACAGGTGCAAACCAGAGACTGTTCTCCATCTGCCCAGAGCAGATCCCCTAAAACTGGTCTAGAGGGCATCTGTCATATGCTGGGTCCCAGAAGTCACGCTTTCATTCATGTGGCCTGTGCTGATTGGCTTGTCTCTTTTTGCCTATGCTGATCTTCCTCAGAATCAAATTGGAAACTAGGTGGGCCAAAACACTATTTGTGGGGCATTCTACTCAGCTAGTAATAAGAGAAAGAGATGCTTAAACAAACTAAACACAGGAAGCCAATTAGACAATCATTGGGACCCCCTGATGCACAAAATACAAAACAAAGACTCAAGGAAGCAAAGGAGAAAACAGAATGAATTTTTTTGTCTTTTGTCTTTTGGTAATAAAAGATCAATGACAGGAAATCAAAAGCCCAAGATAGTGAAAATGCTGTCATCTTAGAAGTTAGGAGACCAGGGAAAAGTTCTAGTTCTGAATCACCTTCTATCAAATTTAGTGTCCCAGGGCAACTCATGGCAAGTCAAGAAGTGCCTATTAAGTATTAGTGTGTGCTTATTTAGTGGTCTCTAAGGTCACGGCCACCTCTCAATTCCACGCTATTGTATGTCACTGCCATTAGGTGACAACCTACACAACAGGTATGAAAGAGCCCGAGGTGAGAAGCGGTGGGACCACTGCCAAAAGGAATAACCTCTATTTTCAATCAAGGAAGGACAGGTCAATGAGTCCTATGCCTAAGACGGGTTTTAGAAGGGACCTTGAGACTCACATGCCCATAAGCATCTATATCAGATCCATGTAACTTTTGGCATAAAGGATAAAGAGTAAAATCAATAAATGCTTATAGGGAGTAATTAATGATGAGCATTGAGAGTTAGAGACTGTGTTAGATCCAAAATACAAAGTGTTTTGGTTGGGGAAGGCCTTGCCTAAGAATCACAACTCCCCCTACCCTCCCAAAATAATGTCTAAATATTTTTAAAAAGGTAAATGGCAAACTGGCTGGGCTGCCTTGAAATGTTCCCCTAAGAAGAGACACATAAATGACCAGAGAAGTAAGGCAAAGTTTTCTGGAGGAGCAAAGCTCGGGCTGAAATTTTAAGGAAAGGTTATGGGTGGATGGGTGGATCTACAGGTATAAATAGCATGTGTAGATGTCCAGAGAGAGATGGGTAGCTTAGGATAAAGGAGAGACAAGGTTGTCTGGAGTAAGAATGTGTAGGGATGAGCAGTGGGAAAGGCAGCGTTCTAGTAAGGAGGTAGGGTGGAGTCAGCTCCCCAGGCCTGGAAAGACAGAAAGAGGAGAAAGTAATATCACCTGCTGGAAAAGCAACAATATTTCTGTAAGTTTCAACCATGTGATTTACTGGTGTTAAAAGAAGGGATGATTAGGTGCAAACTGTTGAGAGAAGCAGTGGATGTAATTCACCTATCATTCAGAAAGTTTTGGAAAACTATATTAGACATTGAAAATGGAGTCAATGTGAAATTAAGGGTGGTGTTTTTATCAGGGCCTGAGCACACTTAGAGATAGGAAACAGTAGGTGGAAATGAATGGTCACTTCTCTGAATGAAAAGAGATTAAGAGTACAGGAGCCCCAGGAGATCATGCTGGGACCTGGCTGATTTAAATTTTTTATAAGTAATCCAGAAGAAGTAGAACAAAGTGAAAATTTCAGGACTACAGATAATATTAAGCCCTTTCAGGCAAGGAAATGCTCTGCCAAAAGAGAGAGAGAGGGTGCAAGAGCTGAAGGAAGGCGCTGAGTGGGATGCAAAATAGCAGATAAACGTCAATGTGGGGAGATGTAAGGTAATGCATGCTAATAAAAACAATCCACATGTAGGGTGTTGGGTTCCAGGCTATCAGTTGACCCAGGAAAGGGATCGGGGAACTATTGCAGATTGTTTCCTAAAGGCACTGTCCTAATGTGTTGGGGTCGGGAAGGCTGACAAAAGGATAGGCAGAAGCAGAAAGGGATCTGAAAACCAATGAAGAAATCATCCTTCTGTTGTGCAAGACTACAGGGTTCCATTCTGGGGACAATGGGCAGGTTTAGACAGTCTATTGAAAATTAGGGCCCAAGGATATCTAGAAAAGGGTAACTACAATGACTCAGAGGCAGAATGTGCCTATTCTAGGGGTGGCCTGTCATAAGGGGATAACTTAAATGTGAAAAGACAAAGGCTAAGAGAGGTGGAATAATCAAAGCCTACAAAGCTGCTAAGGCTAAGAAGTGGGTACACATAACCTTTCCCCAAATTTTCATGGATTTACGTAAATGGCTTCCTCTAAATGCTTGGAATATTATAGGAATAAAAGGGTTCTGGAGTTGAGATTATATAGTCCTATCTCTTTATATTAAAGATAATAAAATTCAAGCCTGGAGAGGGCAAGGAAATGGCCCAAGGTCACAGAAAGCACCAGGGGCCAACATCAGACTAGAGCCCAGGCCTCCTAAATGGCAGTTCAGGGTCTTTCCACCTCATCCTGTGCACTCAGGAAGACTAAAGGGATCTTTCTTTTTATAGGATATAAACTCATGAGATGCATTACTTTCAGATATAATAAAGCTGAAAACACAAACAGGCTAGGGAAAGTTTCCACTAAAAGTCAACGAGCAAATATAAGGTCTTTGGAAGACAACTACCAACTCAAACTAAAGAGACTTTCTACACATTTCAGTTATTTTGGATCACATATCCCTTTGCAAGTCTGAAGAAATCTAGGTATCTCTCCTACAAAAACACATTTGCACATGACCAATACAATTTTGCACAAAATTTCATGCTGAGAGTCCCATGACCAATTAAGAATCTCTGTTCCTGCATATTTTTCTGAACTAACAGACTGCCTGCTTCAACAAACACACTCCATCTCTTAGGATAACTGTGGCAGTCACTTTGATTTTCCTCAGCAAAAAAATGTCCCAACAATGTCCCAACATCACTTATTAAAATTGCAGATCTCCAGGTTGAAATAAACCAGAGAAATTACCTATTCCAATTACCCCTTCTTTACTCCTATCATATAGAATAATGTCATAGTTAAAAATGTGGAGACTAGAGTCAGCCTGCCTAGGTCAGAATCCCAACTCCATCACTCACTATCTGTGTGACCTTGGGCAGTTACTTAAGCTCTCTGAATTTATATCGTCACCTGTAAAATGGGATTAGAATTACAACTATCTCATAGTTATGAGGATTAAATAATTCATATAAAACATACAGTGAGTGCTCAGTAAATGCTAGCCGACATTATTGTTATTATGCATATACCCATCCAATCCCCTCCTGGAGCTTTTGCTTGTACATGCCACTGATGAGTAGCTCACCACTTCCTAAGCTGGTTGAGCAGCTCCGATTGTTACAAACTTCTTCCTATATTGGGCTGAAATTTGTATCCTTGCAAACCCTACCCCCACCCGTTGGCCCTAATTCTGCCCTGTGGTGCCAAGCAGAGCAAGTCTATCCTTCCTCCACGTGACAGCGCTTCAGATATGAAGACAGCGATCGAGTCCTTCCCCCCCATCCCCCCCACGCCCCTACCTCCTCTCTTCTCCAGCTTGCACATCCTCGGTTTCTTCTCCCAACCCACAACAGACTGCCTGCGCTTACTATTTACTCCGATGCGTTGTACGGTTTTCCTCACACATAGTCATGCAGGCCACACGCCCCACCGCCACCACAGCAATTCCGACCCTCCAGCTCCGCCCCCCCGCTGCCCCTGTCCGCGGTGCTGAAGTGGCTCTGGCACCCCGCGGCCCTTTCCAGCCCCAGCCCTGGGCTCCTGGCCGGGCCCCAGGAGCGGACCCCGCAAGCCACCTCCGCGCCCCCGGCGGCGGGCGCGCCCAGCCCAAGCCCGACCCCGGCGCCGCTCCCCGCCCTGCCCGGAGGCCCCGAGCCCGCGTCCCGGCCCGGCGCCCCAGCCGCACCTGCCCGGCGAAGGGCGCCTCCGCCTCGGCCGCCAGCGCCGCCGCCGCCGGGTCCCCGGCCCCCGCCGCAGCCGCTGCCGCCGCCGCCGCCGCCCGCGCGGCGCCCGGGAGGCAGCAGAGCGCGGGCAGGAGCAGGAGCAGCCGCCCGGGGGCCCCCCAGCTGCTCCAGCGCCAGGCCCGGCCCGGCGGCGGCCCCGGCGCGGCGCGGCCGCCCCGGCTCCTCGGCATCCCCGCGGCGGGGCCCGGCCGCCCGGCTGCGATGGCGGCGGCGGCGGCGGCTCCGGCCGGGTCCTCCCGCTGCAGCCGCTGAGGAGCCGCCGAGTCACGGCGCCGCGGACACGCGCCCGGCCCGCCTGTCTTCGCCGCCGCCGCCGCCTCGACCGCCAGCGCGCCCCCGCCTCCGCGCGCCCCGCCCCGGAGGGGGGCGCGGGGGCAGCACCCAAGCGGGACCCGCGGGGGCGCCGGCTCCCCGCCGGCCCTGGGGCACTGGCCGAGGCGCAGCGCAGGGGAGGGGGTCGCAGAGGCCAAAAGAGCAGCTCTGCAGGCAGTGTCCAAAGGGGTGAGGCTGGAGGAGGGGTCTGGGGGCAGCCCCGAGGGAGGCGAAGAGGCTAAATAAACAGTCCCCGAGACAGCGTCACGTGACGGCCCGGGGGACAGGTCTACGCGGTCGAGGTCCAGAGCCGAAGCACTAGCCCTGGGGAAGAGGGTCTGCGGGGTGGCACTGGGGAGGGGGCTCTGAGAGACAGCCCGGAGGGACTGAGGAGCGGCCCTCGGGTAATGGCGGGGTTGCAGGAGAAGGAGCTAAAGAAAGGACCCAGGAGGGGAGTGTGTGAGAGGGTGGCCCCGAAGAAGGGAGGACGGCGAGCGTGAGAAACTGAAGACTCGACCCGGGAGAGTTTGGTGGGGCCGGCCCAGCGACATTAGGTGAAATTAAGGTGAAGCTCATTCCCTTAACCCCCAGAGGGGGACAGATCAACCAGCTGGGAAGATCATCTTTTATCCAAAACAACCAATATTTATCGGATACTTTCTATATATATGTAGGGTTTTTGGCTGCTTGGGATACAAGAAAGAAAAAAAAGGTTGATTCCCTGAAATGTAGAGGTTTAGAGCTTGGAGAGAAAATACAAGTGCAAAGAAACAGGGCAGCAAACACTAAGTGTCAAAAAGGATACAGGCAGGTGCTCCAGAGGTCAGGGAGACTCCATGGGGGCCTCCAGGGGGTGTTCAGGACAGGTTTATGGAGGGGATGGGGCTCCAGCTGAGCCTTGAAGGGAAATGCAGAGGGAGTGCCAGGTAAGAAGATGAGGGTGTAGAGGATGTGGTTGGGGCAGTAGGTCAGTTTCTCTGGAGCGCAGGGTTCCTATAGGAAAGTGCTGGGAAGCGAGGGAAATTCTAAAAGACTGAATCCTAGGATAATGAATTTGGGAATTTATGTTCTGAAGGGGAATGGTGTGTGTGTGGGGGGGTGGGTGGGGGGGTGATCAAAGGGTTTTGGGTTTTTTTTGAGCAGGATGATGTGTGGAAAATGGCTTTTTATAGTTACCTGGTAATTGGAGGGGTGGAAAGGGAACAGGCTTTAGACTCAGACCTATGTTCCAATCTTGGCTCTGTTCTATTTTTATAAAATGACACTGATGTTATTGTATAAGTGCTATTTGCTATAGGGATGAAGTGCCTGGCACTTAATAGATGTTAGTCCCCCTCCCAGAGCATAGAATAATGACCAGAGGAGGCAGAGATATTAGTTGGGAGACTATTACAATAGTCTAGGTATAAGGAAATAATAATAAACATATTTAATGCCAGTTATGTATGAAGCAACTACAGTCTGTCTTATATCTCATTTAACCCTCCTAAGTAAACCCTATGAAACAGATGCTATTATTACCCCAATTTAGGATAAAGAAGTAGAGGTTTTGAATAAGTTTGCCAAATTTGCGTGATTCACAAGTGGCAGAGCCGGAGCAGTCTGACATCAGAACCCACTTTTTTCTAGGATGGGCAAGGAAGAGACTTAAGAGACCCTGGGCAAGTAAGGAGAGGGAGTTTGGAGTGTTGGCAAGTCCAGAAAGATGGGTGGTGGTACCTTTACAGAAATGAAGTATCATAAGGAGGAACTGGCTTGAGAAAGGTGTCAGAGTTTTAAGTTTGTTGAAATTGAGATCCCTGAGATGGGTATAGGAATGAGTTCAGAAGAGGGTGGAGAATGAATATTTTGGAAACCTCCAATATGATAGTTGAAATGGAAAGATGAGTATAAAAGAGCAAAAGGCTGAGTGAGGGCCTTATGTTGAGACATACATATTCAGTTTAAAGAGTGGTCAGAAAGATTGAACAGTATATGGGAAAAGATTGTGCAGTATATGGGAAAGGGGAGAAGTGTTTCAAGGAGAGAGAGTGGGGTTGGCAATGTCAGGGAGGTCACAGAGACTGAAGCCTGTGTACACCTCATTGAACTGAACAGCTCACGGTCTTCTAGGGAGATAGAGACATAAGCAAATCATTGTGGTTACATGGTAAATTATGACTGAGGTGGAAACAAAGTGTTGTGGAAACACTGACAAAAGAGAAATGAACTGGACAAAGTTGGAAGATTTGGGAGGAGGTACATTCCAAAAGGAGGACGTAGTACATTCAGTGAGTGAAAGGGAACAGACTGGTCTGAGCTTCTTAAGGACAAGATCTGTCTTACTCATCTCCTTACTCCTAAAGCCAAATGTTCACTGAACCACTAATGATGATGTAAGGCTAAAGTGGTCCACAGCCAGCTACCAAGGATGGTGGACATAGATGGCAGTGGGATCAGTGATAAAGAAGGAAGAGGTTGATATAAGCAAATGGATGCTTATAAAATGTAACCCTAAGGTAGGTCCCTAGTAGGTAAGGTCTAGAGACCACTGTGAAGCTAGCCTAAGAAGTGGTTTAGAAGGCTTCAGAGTAATACCCTGAGATGGAATCACCAGTGCACTGGATTCTTTTTTCCCTTGTTCATGAAAAAGCACTGGATGGACTTAAGAGTCAGATAACCTGAATTCAGTATTGGCTGTCACTAATTTGAAGGGCATCCTCGGGCATTTGATTTCTTGTTGAACTTTGGTGTCCTCATTTGTAAAGTAAAACTAATGACTCTACCCTCCTCTTCATGAGGAGGTCCACATGATGATTGGGATTCATTTCTTAAATGAATGGTATAGTTAACTGAGCAGATGTTAGGAAAAACTTAAGTATTGGTAATCTTATCAAGAAGCGTTCTATCAGTACCAGAGCCTGCTGTAGGGAAACTGGAGCCCTCTCTTTCCTGCACCTCCTCTCTTAATTCTTTTCAACAAATACTTGTTAAATATCTTTTGGGTGCTAGGTGAGATGGGGATATGAAGAAGATTAAACTATAGCTGCTTCCTTTAGAAAGATGGTCAACCAGGGAGACAGACACTTATATAAATAGCAAGGAGATACCATAACAGGTACTCCAAGAGAGAAAAGAAAAATATTGAGTTCAGACAGGAGGGAACAACTAACTGTCTAGACATGACAGAAGGTGAGAGGGGCCTTGAATGCCCAGCAGGAATTTGCTGTGTAGAGTGGGAAGGGAACTGTATATATAAAGCACAAATATATATGAATCCCATACTAAGGAGTTTGGACTTCATGTTCTAGGCCAGCAGTCCTCCAAGTGTGGCCCAGACCTTTTCAGGGGGTCTGTGAGATCAAAACTATTTTCATAATAATACTAAAGCATTATCTTTATTTTTAACTCTCATTTTCTCATGAGCATAGTATATAGTTTTCCAGAGACTTTACAACAGAGTTCAGAAGTAGATATGAGAAGACAACTGTCTTCTATTAAGTCAGACATTAAACAGGTTTTCAAAAATGTAAAACAATGCCACTCTTCCCCATACATTTTTTTGTTTTGTTTTAGAAAATATAGTTATTTTTCACAGAAATGTTATTTATGTTAATAGGTTTATTATGTTATTTTTAATTAATATAAATATTTTTTAATTTCTCAGCTTTGATTTCGAGTGTGGTAATTATTGATAGATGTAACTCACATAAAAGCATTTTAGAGTCCTCAATAATTTTTAAGAGTATAAAGGGATTTTTGATACCAAAAGGTTTTAGAACACTGTTTTAGGCAGTAGAACCTCACTGAAGGGTTTTGAGTAAAGGAGTAATGTGATAACATTCCAACAAATTGACAAAATTTATTCACACCTCCTATGTGCCTGATGCTAACATAGAGCAGTAAACAGTTAAAATCAAACACTCTGCTTTACAGAACTCACATTATACTGGGTATAACAGACAATAACAAAATAATTAATATATATAGTATGTTAGATAGTAATAGCTATTGAGAAAAGCAGGGAGTTAGGATATAAAAGCTGAAAGGTGTGTGTGTGTGTGTGTGTGTGTGTGTGGTGAAGTTTTGGACAGGGTGGTCAGGAAAGGTCTTAGTAAGAAGGCAAGTTTTCATTAAAGACCTGAAGGAACGAGGGAATGGACCATGTGGTTACCTGGGAGGAATTAATTCAGGCAGAGGGAACAGCAAGTGAAAAAGCTCTGAGGCAGGATCATGCCTGGCATGTTTGAGGAACAGCATGGAGACCAGTGAGTGTTTAGTATGGAATAAGGGTGAGCATATTAGGAGATGAGGGGTTCTCTACCTGAGATAAAAAGCCAGTGGATGGTTTGAGAATAGACATCGTCGGACTTATCTTTAATAGAGCCACTTTGGTTGCTGTGCTGAGAATAGGTTGAAGAGCCATAAACAGAAAGGCCAGCTAGGAGGCTACTGCAGGGATCCAGGTGCAAGATGATGGTGGCCTGGGTCCAAGTGGGGATAGTGAGATAAAGTTGGTTTCTTGATAGATTTTGAAAGTAGAGTTGACAAAACATGGCAATAGATTGTATATGAAGTATGAGAAAAAGGAGTGAACACAAACCTTTTTGACCTAGGCAATTAGAAGAATGGATTTGCCATTAACTGATGTAAAGAAGGCTGCAGGAGGGACAGGTTTGAGGTGAAATATCAAGAATTTGGTTTTAGATCTATTAAGTGGGAGATGTCTATAAACACCCAAGTGGATGTGGCAAGTAGACTGTTTCATATGTGGGTCTAACTTCAGGAAAGAGGTCTAGACTGGATTATGAACTTGGAGCTTCTGAGAATAAACACACTATTTAAAAGCCAAGGGACCAGAAGAAATTACATGGGACAT